ATTACATAAAAGGGTAGGGTCTTTTTTTTTTCAATAGTTTTATTCATTTCAAACGGGCTGGATCCGGCCCATGGGCCGTAGTTTGCCCACGGCTGATTTAGCCTATAGAATTGTCCTTCTCTGCAAACCTCTTCCAAGCACCATTGGCTGGTTTGAGCATCTGAAACCAGTTAGGACTGTTAACTCTGTCAGACACTAAATAACGTGTGCTGGAAAACTGTTCCATGCTCTCAAGTACAATTAAAAAAACTATAACCATTTGTAAGTGTTTAATTAAGTAATATAAGTGTTACATATGAGAACTAGAACCGAATGTGACGTTTTTATACATAATTGCACATAGTGTGAACTATGAGTACATTTTAGTATATTCGAAATTATTTGTGACGGTGCCTCCATTAAATAAAAGACTAAAGCCTACCCAGGTATTCAAGTTTTGCTCTTAATTCTCTCTCACACTCCCAAGCCCTGTCCTCCCTCATTCTTCCCCATCTCAGTTAATTCACTATCTACCTCTTTGCTTAGTCCTCAAAACCAAAGAGGTTCTGAGATCCTGGAAATTAAGAAAGCTTTGGTTCATTGTGTGTGATCCCCTCTACTTGAAAACCCAGGCAGATAAGCCTGCTTCTCTTCCTTGGCCTGCTGTGGACACTTCACAGCTTACCAGGGACAGTTCCACTGAAGGCCAGTCAAGGTTTTCCTGTGTCCACTTAGATTCTGAGCAGCTGTCCAGGTTTAATGAATATCCTGCCATGACATCTGGAGAGGAGCCAGTTTCTGAGACAGCTGTCTAAGTGAAAGGAAGATTTCTAACCTCTTGCATCAGCCGGGTCTGGGAGGCAAACTTCTCAGGAGACTTGAACTGTTGTTTCTGAAAGTTCGTTCAGCCCGAGGTTCCCCCATAACTGGCATTCCTCCTGTGAGAAGATCCGCGGTTGGATGCGTGAAGTTAGGTCTGCAGGTTTTTAAGCAGTGCCACTTGCAGAAAACCTCCAACACTCATTGTTAAGGTTTAAAACATCGCAAGTCATTTAGGCAGATCAGTCAACAATAACAACAAGGATTCAAGTGGGGGCTTCTCTTTGATCCTCTGGGAATTTCACATGGCAGTTATCATTAATTCTTGGATTCCCTCAGTCCTGATAGAAAAATCAAGGCAACCAAAAACGATCATTTTGCAAACAGACAGCTATTAAAAGCGCATTAATAATCTATAGTGGGTATAGCATATGCCTTTTAAAAAGATTTGCAGCCTGTTTCTCTGTGGTGAAGACACAGGACTTCTCCAGCCTAATTACAAAGCAATCAAACAATTTAATTAATCTGGAAATCACTTTCTTAACAATAACTGCCTCGAAAATGAGGCACCCTGTGCAGCGCCATTAGGTAAAGTACCATTTTGATATATGCTTGTTTATTAGCCTCGCTAGTTCCCCCTGGGGATCACAGAGTTAATTACCTACCCAGCCTCCTGACCACTGCTAAGGTGTTCTTCACCAGGTCAGAAACATCTGCAGCGGTACCAGCAGTCGGTAAAGTGTCCTAGCTCTCCAACATCCGAGAGGCAGCAAATCCCCGGGAGCAGCAGGATTTGAGTAATAAGCAAGTGCAGCACATATGGGCAGAGAATTAACTGGCACCAGTTTTCATTTGAAGGTCTCCCAGGTATTGCTCTGCAGATGGGGGGATGAATTTGGAAAGCCGTGCTGTGAGGAGTGAAGGTCATGTATAGGACTTTGGTTTCGATCCTTCTTGCCTTCTCACCCCGGGGAAGCTCTGTGCTTGTCCACAGCAGTCTGGCCCTCACCTCTGAGATAGGAATATACAAGGTGTGCTTTATAATTTGATCTGTTCTAAATTAGCGGTTATTTTGATCACTATATAACTAAATAGTGTCCCTGAGACTTCAAAGACTGAGTCGATAACAGAAATCAATGTTTATTTTAAGTAAGAACAAAAGACTTCAAAGATTGACTTCTACCTACCTGATCTGCTAACCTTGTAATTTCTCCCAAAGGAAATGTGAGGAATGTTTTTGGTAATAAAAGACAAAAATCTGCACAATACTCATCTGCCATTTTCTTCTGTGACCCGCCCACCCCACTTCTCTCAAAATTCTCTGTCAATGGGATAGCCATTCTCCCAATCTACCCACATTGGAAACAAGGGTCATTTGTAGTCTGTGACCTTTTTCATCACTTATTCTAGCTTATCACCAATTATACTTGGTTTGCTCACCTAACAGTTTTTCTATTGTCTTTCCATGCCTTAGCCGAGCTCCTCCTCAGCCATTCCCTGCCCCCCCACCCAGCGCAGTCACGCCAGGTTAAAGTCTCTAGCATCTCTCTCTTGCCTCCATACATCTCCTGAGGCTTCCCACTAGCTAGTACCAGTACATGTAGTTGACAGTTCCCTGCTTCCAGGGAGCCTGTCTCTCCTGCATCTGGGTTGTTTCTGTCCCCTTCCTGAGTCCTTCTATTTCGTCTCTTACCTCCAGCTTGCTGAGCTGCACTCAAATTAAGCTAGTCTCTTGACCTTAAGGAGTTGCCAGGTATTCTGTTCACAACACCCTCATTTTCTCTAATAGCTCACTACACTTAAGAGCCTTTGAAATAATGTGTGTGTGTGTGTGTGTGTGTGTGTGTGTGTGTGTGTGAATTTCAGTTTAGTTTTTCAATCTGACATGAAACAAGAAGAAAGACCTATGAATAGTAAGACAGTACAGAAGGCTGTGTAGTTTTGCGGTTGAAGGGGTGGGAATTTGGGTTAGGTTTTACGGCTGTGTAGGAGTTCATGAGAAGAAAATGAGGAACATGTTCAATGAATAGGCCTAGAAAGACAGCACAAGATGGAAAGGCAGAACCTGAAGGTCTTTCTTTCTTTTTTTTTTAAAGCAGATTTAAGTTAACTTGCCTCTGTATTTCTATCTCTGCCCATTCATTCTCAGAGTATGGGTCACTGTGTATTATAAAATGTTACAAGGCTTCCTAGGGACCACTCATTAAACTTTCTAAAAGTGAAAAGGGTTTTAAGCTAATTCCTTGTTTTTCCCTTCTTCCGACTCTTAAATATATTCACTAAGCACTCTGTAGTTAGTGTAGTTGATCTCAGATAATCTCCAGATGCAGTGCTCTCTTTACAAAGAACACAGGGCTGGGAACTGGTGACAAGTTCCGTTGGCCTTATTATTTGTTCTGAGTGAATAGGCTCGCAGGGATTGTTCTGAAAGCGCCTTGGCTTCCAACAATCGTTTTGTTTCTCCTAATAATTTACTGGCAGTGTGCTCTATATGGGGTGTGAGCAAAGTGAACATTTTTTCCCGAGTGGAAAACAAAATTTACATGAAGATTTCTGGCAGTAGATTGGTTTCTCTTTAAAAAAAATTTTTTTCTAGCCACCCTGAAATTATTGAGACCTTTTAAGGAATATGAAGAGTGATGTACCACCTAAGTAGGGGAGGGGGCGAGGGGAACAAAGGCTGTTGAGAGAAGTTGAAAGCACTTTATTTAGCCATGTAGATAAATGGACAGAAATAGTCCTGGGTTGCTGAATGGCAAAAACAGAATCCATTCTCCAGGGGCCCAAGGAACAGCAGATGCAAAGGCAGATACATTTGATTGCGGAGGGGGAAAATGCTTCTCCACTCTCTACCCACAAAGAAACGGGCTTTCCCGAGCTTCCCCGTTAATGGCCCTGATTGTGCTATCTGTCATAAAGTTAATGGCATCTGTTGAAGGCATCGCTGTGAAATTTGCAACCTCGGAGTTAATTGAAAAATTTCAGTAGCGGTGTAGCCAATCCAAAACTCCTCAAGGTAACAGTAAACTTACCCTCCTTAATGTGTTGGTCTATTCTTTTGGCACAGAGGTAATAAATTGTTTACCTCTACGGCAACGAGGTACTGACTTTAACGTGCAATCTTGTATTCCTTACACCTAATTACAATTGTCACTTTGATTGCAAAACCAGTAATGTGGCAACTGGCTTGCTGTTAAGGATTAAAAATACCTTCCTGATTATTTTCCCTGTTTCCAGAATGTACAGGATTCCTTTGCAGCCTTTCCTCACCTCCTTATTGAAACCAGCCTCAGTCCCATCGGGTCCTCAGATAATGCTGCCAATCTAATTAAACATGCGGAGGGGAGCAGGGTGGTCTGGAGTGTCCTCGGCTTCCCCACACCAGCTGCCTGCCAAGCTTTCTGAGTGATCAGCAGCCGGCTGCGTGTTCTCACGGCCCCCACGGAGCTGTCCTCCTTAGAGTGAGCCGTCCGTCTGTGCTCTGTCCCCCCAGAAGGTCTTGGGGAGGCCCCCTGTCAGCCTGTGTGTGATTGTGGCTTTTAAAGCCTGCCTGGTCAGTTACCGCCCAGCTGCTTAGGGGCAGAGGGCTCTGTTGAAGAAAGTCTTGATAAGGGCGAATCCTACTGGGCCACTTTGGCCGTGCTGAGATCGACCTGGGCTATTTGAGACATAGGCCTAGACTGCAGTATTTATGACTAGTTCTAACATATCCATCCACCTTTAAAATATATACTAGGGAATATGAGGATTTATTTTCCAGAACTCAGACCTTTATTCTGTTTACTACAAATTAAAGCCAATAAGGTTCCCTCTCTAAAGTAGAAAGCCCATCCCACCCGGACCCCTTGAAGCAGAAGCTTCCGTATCCATCCTGCTGTTTGAAATGCTAGCACATCTGGGAGGGTGGAAGCCCAAACATTCGTGTGTCCGTTATACTGTAGGACTGGAATATTTAGGTTATTAAACATGTGGAGGGCTGCTGGTTGGTGATACAGGGGAATGAGGTGATTCATATACCTTGTACACTGGGAATGCTGTGCTGAAACTCTGTCCCTCCCCCCAGATTTCTGCTGCACGTAAAACTAAAGCATTTTGCAAAAGTGGACAGAAACTTAACTACTAAAGAGAAGAAGATTCCGGATGTGGATAATGATACAAAAACAAGACCATGTTGTAAACTTTGTCCTTCTTTCTCTCTGCAGGCAATAGCCCTCAAGATAGCCCAAGAAATTTCTCCCCCAGTGCCTCAGCCCATTTTTCATTTGCACGGAGGTAAGGACTTCTTGTGAGTTGAATAACAAAATGTTATGTAGGGAACCACACTCCCACTCCCCTCAACGTTCCCCTGAACCCCCTGCACCCTTGCCTTCTGCCTTGTGAGGTCCTGCTTGTTACAAACCATAGGACCTTCTCTGAACTCCCCTGGCCAAAGATAGCATTGGCTATCGCAGAACTTTGCTATGACTCTTGCTTTAACCGTTTTAGAGATGATTTCTGCCTTGTGTTAGAGTTCTCTCTATCTCTCGGTCCTTCACTCGATGGTGGGCTCCCACCGATAACAGGAAATGACCATTTCCATCTTTTCCCCCATGCTTAGTACATGACTTATACATGCTTAATGCTCAACAGATTTTTAGTGAATTTTCTGAGCTTACAGTATCAGGACTTGATTCATCTATGTGTCCTGGGGCAATATTTTATTGTTGTTGTTGTTTTTGAAATGCACTTTTTAAAAAATAAAAATGACTTTTGGGGGGGGTCACAAGGTATCAACTCTAAGATGTCCCTTGACTTGAGATGATCAAGCCATCATTTGATCGATCCCCCTGAGATAAAGCCATGCAGGTGCCATAAGAAGGTTTATGTTTTCTATTGTAGTTAGAATTGGGCACCAATATCAAGGATATCTGCCTCATATCTGGGTCATTGAATCAAGAGCAGTGTTGCCCTCCAAGGACAGCGGGGCATATAATCTCATATAGAAACTTTTCAGGGCCAGATCTTCTATTACGATTTTGCCAAGTGAGAGGGGTCTGCCCAGCCACCTTTCCTGTATCTGTCCACGGAATTAGCGTACTCTACCCTGTCAGATTCAAACCTCCACCTTCCTGGCCCGATCGTCCCTCTCACATACGTACCCTGTCCTTCCCTGCCCAGAAATGACACACAGAAAACAAAATGCTCTTTCACTGAGGCCTCTGAATATTCAGGATAAACTCAGTTGATGGTCTGAATGTCCTAGATATTTGCTGAATTTTCCTCAGAGATCTAGCTATACGTTGAAGTGGATTAAAGTAGCACTAAAAGACACATAGTAAGTTAAAAAAAATATATAGATTTGTTTTAATACTTGTTACTGACTGGCAAAACTGCAGTGTCCTCACTGCCATTTGTCAGCATGTAGTGCATTTTATATTCCTGAATCCAGAGGAAAGGGTCTGTTTGCAGTATTTTCAGACTTCTCTGTAAGTAAGATTCCCTTGTAAACATTCCCCCCCAACCCCCCGCCCCCACTGTGTGTTTAAATGTTCATGTGTGAGGTCTCGGCCCTCTACCATGAGGAGGACACGGAGGAATTAAGACATGACCTCCCAGAACTTCCTGAGACCCATACCCTGATGTCCTCTAGTTCTAGCTTTTCTTCTTTGAGCTCGTTGTTTTAAGCACTGTAAAGAAAATGGGGAAATGAACTGGTCCCACAAGGCCTGCATTTGCCCAGTGACTATTAATTCATGGCGGTGATACTCTTATCAATGAAAACAAAAAAAACTTTTAAAAATTGACAAACAGGAACCCACCATAGTCTTTAAAACACACACATCTCTCTCTCTTTCTTCTTAAAGAGAATGCATTTAATTATTTTAAGTAATAAGAAAAATGCAATCTCATTACAGCGTGCATTTAAACATGACAGAAATCATAGCCTCTTAATCCTGCCAGATTTATGAAAATGAAGAGAATCTAATAATTAAGTGGGTGACTGGAAGACAGATGAATCTGGTTTCTTAGCTATTAAAAAAATACACAAACCCCCAGGCATGCTAATTTTTTTTACAAATAAACCATAAACCGTGACAGAAGATTATCATGGGAGACCTCTAGTTCATTTTGCATGAATTTCCAGATGGAACTCTCTCCACACTCTTCAGAAAGTATTAATTTAGACAGGATATGAGTGATCATCTTTTTAAACTTTTATTCAAGTAAATAGAACCCGTGTTTGCTGTGAAAACTCCATTTGGCGTATTTTTATTTACCTAGGGTCTGTCTCTTGCATTTTAAAGCTCAGTTTCATTTAGAAAACATGGAAATTCCTCTCTGGGTCCTCCATTGGCTTCCATTCGGTATAAATTTCTGAGCCTAAAAAGTAATGCCGTTCCGAGACTTCCACATTTTATTATTTTGTGTATTTGGTCCAACAGAGGAGAGATTGCCCTGTTTTTCAACTTACTCTTGGGTGTAGGGATGAAGATCAGATGATTAATCGTTTCTGATCTTAAACCATGTGATAAATAATACTCCCCTTGTAGACAGCCTCTGTAATGTCATAGTTTAATTTCAGACTCAAAAATATGATGGACACACTTTCCAAATTATCTTATACATATTTGAGGGTAAATTCATCTAGTTAATTTTTTTTAATATCAAGTTAAAACAAAAGGATGAAAATAAGCATTGTAATATAGTTGATTTTGTCCAAAGCAAGGAAACACATTTTTACTTTGCTAACTACAGTACTGCTAACTACAGTCCATCTGATCATGGAATTACTTAACATTTTTTCCTTGATGGGAAGAATAACATTGTTCTGCCTTTCCCAGAAGTTGTGGAGATTTGTTCTTTATAAATTGCTTTCACTCTCGGGCTTATAAGCCCTGAATAAAGCCATGTGTGTCTCCTACTTGCCTTGTTATTATTTACCAGGTTAAATATCAGGATATATTTCCACAGGCAAATGACTGGAACAGACTTGCCTGCTGAGTTCAGATTAAAAGGCACTTGTTGAGCGCCAGTGGGCAGAGCAACCTACTAGTTATGTTCAGAATTCTTTCTGGAGTGAACTTTAGTTGGTTACATTACATTATCTTAGTCCAATTTCAGCTAGAATATAACATGCATCACCCAGGTGACTATACCAATTAAACAAAGAAATCTGCTTCCTTTTCTTACAGTTATAGCAGCCAGGTTGATATGAGAACTTTTCATTCTTTCTTTGTTGTTCACCATAGTAATCTAAATTTTTGTGAGTGGTGTTGAGATGTTTTGTGGGGTTTTTTTTGCCCATCTCTTTATATCCCGTGTTCCCATCAGATGTTTTCCCCATCTTACTTTTTCATTTAGCAGAACACTGAGATTTCCACCCACAAAGAAAAAGCTTTTTTTCCAAAAAGCCTTGTTGTTTTGGCAAGAATATCATCTTGTCTTCAGATAACATTTTATTGGTAGCTACTGCAAAGAAAAGACAACATTGTTAGTGGGATCCAAATTGCACTTTTGAGATAGCTTTCTTGAAGAAAGGGGCATTCTCTCTGAAGTACTATATATAGCATCTATAGTAACTTCTGATGTGCGGTTGTCATGGTAATAAAAATGCAATGGTCCTGTGTGTTCCATTTGAGTAAATAGACACGGACAACTTAGGGAACTTTATGAGACATAAATTATTTCTGGTCCGTGGATGCACAAGGTCCCAAGCACATTTTTGTTTAAACGTCTTTCTGGTTGTGTGTTTTCTGGAATAAGCAAATGTGATTTATGCTTCAGAACTAATAAGAACATGACTCCTCTTGGAATTGTTCATTCATCTGAAATAAGTTCACCGATACCTGAGGGAAAGGAGAGTTAATGAATCACAAAACAAAATCATGGTGGGGGAAATTCTGTCCCTTACTCTTTCCAGAGACTAGTTTATGATAATTGCTATTAAATGTACTGAATAATCCTTTTAAAATCATAGCCTTTTCTTGCTTTTAAAAATTAGAGGTGTTTAAACTATAAAGTACAAGCATTGGTTTTTAAGTCTGTCATAAGTAGCCAAAGAAAACAGGACCGCCTGGGTCCTTTTATTTGACAGTTGGATATCTTTAGAAACATGTTGCTATAATTGTCTTCTTAAGTCTTGAACATTTTCAATGGTTTAAAAATACTTTGAAAGAATATCTGACTTAATTCTCCCCTGGTATATTTCCCTGAATTCTCCCCCTCATTCTTCTCTCTGGTATATTTACAAACATCTTATTTTGCTTCTTTCTCTTAAAACATTCTTGATTCAATTGTACTCCAATCATGGTCCCAGAAATGACAGGTAAATGTTACTGAAATCTTCACATTGTAGTCCCGTTGTGATTTGTCCGCTTGGAACTCTCCATTTCATCTTTGTGGACCATTTGCATTTCTCGGAGGCAGCACCCATGGTAGCCTGGCATTACATTTTCCCTTGAACGTAATTTAGGCTGAACTGTCCGGTTTTTTTTACATGAACATCTAATTGTGACATTTCTCAAATTCAAGTCCAATGCTGTTAAATTCCCTGACTTCAACTTAATGGTGAATATGTCTGATAAACGTGGTCCACTCTCATCTCTCATGTAGTAAATTAATATAATCATCAATTATAAAAAGTCTGTATTTGACACTCCATCTGAGGATGCAGTGTAGCTCTTTATAGAGTAATTTTTTCCTGTTTCCTCCTCACTAATAAAGCAATGACTCTGGAAGGTCAGAGAGTTCAGAAAATTTGCTTTCTGGTGTCTCCTCGCCTTAACAACAGTATTGTCTCCACTACTTTATTAACTCATCTGAGATCCTTGTAATGACACTAATTCATTCAACCCAGAGAGCTACCCGTCCCATCACCATTTGGAAGTAAAACTACTCTCTTTAAGACTCCTGGCAGCTTTGGCTCTACGACTGGGGCGGACAACTCCACTCTTTGCATTCAGTTTCGTCCCTAGCACACCATTTTTATTCTACCCCCGCTGTTGGATAGAGCAGGCTGCATACTCATAAACTCTGCAAGAGGCTTTAGCTGAAACACTTTCTAAAGCCAGGTCATGTCAGAATGGAATCACTCTTAAGAGATTCTGGGCATAAGGTCGGACACTTTCTTAGTGCCAGAGTCATTTGCCACTTAAGGCTTGAGCCAGCCATGAGCCTGCTGATCCTTCCTAACCCCAGGCAGGGTGAGTAGGACCGTTCCCTGGGAAACAATAAGCGGAGCTGTCTTTAGGATGTAAGGAAAGTCCCCACCTGCTTGCAGCACGCGGAATCCAGTCCCTTCCAGATCACGGCCCCCGTTATCAGTTTCTAGATTAGAGTGTTTTCCTCCTCCCTTTCTGTTTTTATTCGTGTGAATCTGCTGAGTCTGACCATTGTAATTATCCCACGTATTCATTTTGTCAAAGTGTGTTAGTGAGAGATCAATAATATGGATCCACCCATTCACTTTCTCCTCGTTTGGGCATATTGATTCAGTTTAAATAAAAGTCAATATCCTCACTGACCATGTTTGTGTCATTTGTTTGACTGAAAGTACTTGGTTTCCCTGGGATTCCCAGGTCACGGCACTGCACTGTTGGCCTAAACTAATCTCATATTCTCAACAGGACTGATGGACGCCGCTGGTCCCTGGCTTCTCTCCCCTCCTCTGGCTATGGGACAAACACGCCCAGCTCCACCGTCTCTGTAAGTGTCTGACGTTCCCCTCTCCCTCACCATCTACAGCTCTTACGCTGGCCATGTTTTCTCTGGGTGTTTCCGGGTTGGGAGGAGAGGATAAATGCTGTATGTCTGTCACTCTGAATACGTTATGTATCAACTGATGAGCTAACAAACATAAAAAGGACATCCTTTTTGCAGCAAGCTTTATTTTATGCTGTGGTGCACCAGGATCACAAGTTTGAAGATGAGGAGCTTTCCTTTTCATACCATTTGTAGTTTGGGGTGGAAAACACAATCTCGTTTTATTGCTTTGGTTCCACACCAGTGATAGTAATACTAACAATGGCATTTGATGGCTTGGGTCTTGTTTTCTTGTGGGGCTTAGATGCAGACTATTTGTATGTTTGGGGTGTTTTTTGTTTTGTTTGTTTTTCTTCTTCAAAGAAAAAAAAATGGCCAGCCTTAAATTTATCTGTGCCTTCTGGATAAGAACTTCCTTTTAAGGAGAGATTAAAAGAACCTCCTAGTAACTTAAGATAAAGAAGAGACCATGAAAAAGGATGGAGGAAGGAGGATGTTCTCTTGCTCCAAGGGCAATAGTATTTCAACAAGAGCCCTAATAATGCCTGGCAACGACTCGGCAGGTCAGATAGGTGCTTTCTCAGTTTAAATTAGTGATGCTGTGGGATCTCTGTCTCTGCAGAGCCTTAGCTGCTGGTCATTTATGAAGACATGGTGTGTTGTATGCGTTCAGGGAATACCCATGGGGTGGTCTGAACGCTCTGTCCCAGCCAGGAGTGCCACCTGGTGACTTTAGAACCGCTTTTGATTCATTTCCATTTTGTCAAAATTTGTGGTTTATTGAGGAGGGCTGTCCATCCACTTTTTTTTTTTTTTCACAGACCTAAGTACCATGCTAGGCATTATAAAGTCAGCCACTTAATAACACTTAAATTGAAAAAAAACTACAATTAAATTTATAAAATCTAACTGGTATCATTACTATCTTATATGTTTCTGAATTCCAGATGCAAAATATGTGGGCTTTTGGAGCCCCTTTAAAAGTGACTTATTAAAATCTGTTGGATTATTTTTATCATTTCCTTATAGCATTTTATTGAGGGGAAGTCATTTATTTTCCTATCCATTGTTCCATTTTGTTGTGGTATATGAGTTTATTGTCCATTTAGGTCATGTTTGTGAAACATCTTGACAACCTTGAGTAGTTTCAATGGCACATCCTTCTCACAGCAGAAAAGGATGCTTGAAACTCCTAAATGGCTCCAGTGGATAAAGAGGTCACTAAATGACAGTGAAGTCACCCTCGGTTAATGTGTCAGTAACTGTCATTGGTTATTGACTCATTTTTAGATGTTGAAAACATGGAGAACCACAGTGTGAAAATAAATGCCAAAATTTATTGACCAAAAAGAACAAAAGTGGAATTTTCTAAATTGTAAGTGCTCTTCTTCCCTAGACCCTTGGGCCTCTCCAATCAGAACCCAGTCACCAATAAACAGAATGCTTGGATCTTTGCTGCCTTTCCCATACATATTCTCATTTAATCCTCCCCATGCCCTAAATGTATATCATGTCTTTTAACTCCACATCATTTTTTATTTCAACTATATTGCCTTGTTTTGCCCTTCAGTCAAATCTACACTAATAAAAGAGAAACATGGTAATTACTGTCACTCCGCTACCCTTCCCATTGGCTAATCCCCCTGTCACTCACAGAGTAGGGCCGAGATATGCAAATTAACTGGCAGCCAAGATGGCGGCCGGCAGCCAGGCAGCTGATGCGAACAGGGAGGCTTGCTTGCTTCAGTGAAGGAGAACTCCAACGTTCCCCGCCTGACTTGGCGGCCTCTCAGGGGCAACTCTCAGCAACTATGTTGCAAATAAAGAAGCTAATAAAAACCCAGAAACCTGCTTTACTCAGGGGAGCTTCAGCCAGCCGGACCACAACATTGTATCAAATACAGACAGTAAACAAAGGCCAGAAACCTGTTTTCAGCAGCCGAGGCCTCAGAGCTAAGGCTGGCCCAGAATAAAAAAACAAAACAAA